TAATCATCTGCCTAATCTTGTCTGGGATGTGGTACTGCTCCATGGCCTTGTTAATGAGGATATGGGGCATAGACCCATACGCATTGGCAAGATCCAGCCAGACTACTGTTAGGTCACCCTAATTGCCCTTGGCCTCCTGGATCAGATGGCTAAGGATAGCAGTGTGTTCCAGGCACCCAGAAAATCCTGGTATCCCCCCCTTCTGAATTGAGGTGTCCACATAACCATTCTCTGTCATGTAGGTTGTCATTCGCCTTGCCAAGACTGAGAAGAATATCTTAGCTTCTACACTCAACAAAGAAATGGTGCGAAACTGGCTGATCTCAGAAGAGTCCTTCTCCTTTGGCACAAAACAGCCCTCTGCCACTCTCCAGGATACTGGTATTCTGCCCTTCACCCAGATTTTCCGGAGGAGCTTCCATAATCTACGTAGCAGAAGTGGACATTTCTTGTAGACTTTGTAAGGCAAGCCGCTTGGTCCAGGGGCTGATGCAGTTCTTGCCTTCTTTACCACCTCCTCCACTTCCTTCCAGGTTGGCTCTCTGGTCTCCAGATGTTTCGAGGGGGGTGGGACACTGGTGATCCTTGGGTGGCTACCCAGATCTTCATACTTCAGAATCAGAATCAGAATCAGAATCAGAAAAACTTTAATTATCCCGGAGGAAATTGCTCATACTTATGTGGGTCACAGAATGTTGACCTTAGGACTTCCTCAACCTCCTCCTTAGAGCTGGTCAGTGTTCCTGATCTAGCTTCCCCTAGCAAGGCCTTGGTAAACCTATAGGGGTCTTTCATGAACTGAGCCCTCTTGGCCCCTCTCTCCTTCCTTTGCTTCCGTGTCTGCTCTGCCTTCCTCAGCCTGCGAAGCCGGTCTCGGAGTCCAGATGTCAGGTCTTTAATCCCTTGTTTTTCCCCTTCTGCAGCATTCCTGAACTGCCTGGAGAGTATCCTGATCTCTTTCCGCAAGCTCTGGATCTCCTTCTCCCTCCAATTCAGCTGCCTTGCCTTTGGACTTATGGTCTTTCTCTCCTCAATGCCAAACCGCTCCCTGGCCATGTTGTACGTAATTGCCGTCATCGTCTCAATTTTCCGCTCCACTGTCCCTGCCAGAGCAACATCCAGGATCTTGTTCAGATCCTCATCTAGCTGCTGCCACTCTTTGTTGCTGTTCATCCTGGGCCATTTCACCCTTTCCTTTGCAGGTTGGAGTTGTCGGGAGGCATCAGAGTTGACCATTGTATGGGTCAGGGGCAAAGCCAATATTGTAAGATACAACAGCCTTGTAATTAATATTACTGGAAGAAGTAAATATAACGCTGCTGCGCACTACTTTGACATTAAGGCTGAGGTATACAGTCAGTGTGAATGGTCGCGACAGAGGTGAAGCGCCATGAACAATACTTTTTTCTTTCATTATCGGTAGTCAATAATAAAACCGGTATAAACAGGTACAATAAATAGGTGTCAGTAATGACAAGAAATGTTAGGGGAACTTGGTGAGGCGAAGAAATCAACAAACCGAGTAAAGTGGCAAACATTGTATTGTAATGATGTGATGTGGGTGTATGTGTGTGGAGGGGGGAGGGATTGGCGTGGAAGGTTAATTAAGTGGCTACACCTGGGTTGTTAGGGATGTGGGGTTAAGAGATGGGGAGAGACCCGCGCTCGAGAGATCGCTTGTTAGGCACAGCACTCGTTGGTTGTGGGAGGGAAGTGCCGCTCATATGCCGTGTAGGGCTGCCGGCGGTGAAGCCAGATAGCGGGCTGCAGGGACAGGTTCTGGTGTGGTAGGGGAAGGACAGTTAGGACGGGGGGTTGTTAGGAGTGCATGATTGCTGCTTAGTTTGGGGTGTTTGATAGTGGTGAAAAGCGGCATCCCCGTAGTGACGGAGTGGCGGCGGAATTCCCTTTCCGCGTGGTGTCTTAGATTGCGGACCTGTGTGAACATTCCTTCCCAGGGGGAGGGTCTTGAGCCTCGGGGGGAATGTTGTGTTTTAATCTTGTCCTTGTATGTTTGTTTTGTGTCTTTTAAAGTAAGCAGCGTAGCCCACTAGGGATCAGGGCGGGACTATAGAGGTGGTACTGTACTACTGGTCCCGTAACGCTTGCCTGTGCCCGAAGTGTGGGGATTACTGGGTATTGTAGTGCTATTGGTGTGCCGTGCCCAAATAGGGATGTTTGTGTGCTGTGGGATCCACTGTATGGTAACGTGGGTTAACACACGTTTGGAAGGGTTGGGTTGCTACGGGGAGACAGTGGGGCTGAACCCTTTGTGAACCCAGACCCGATCCGATGGGGCGCTGCATGAATTGTACTGAATAAAATTATCTTTGTAATTGTAGTTGAAGTCTTGTGGTGGTCTATTCTCCTCTTATAGCCTCCGACGCTATTGTAGGTTCATTACAGTATGTCTTGACGCAACCAAACCAAGCATCATTGTCAACAATATTAAAGATGAACAAAATGTAGCCTGCGTGCAATATGCATACTAATATTGACACTGATGTTTTGTTCGGTTGCGTTAAGACTATTAAGCGTTAAGATTATGTTTGTTACTTTAATCGGTTTGCTGATTTGTTCACCTCACCGAGTTCAACTAACATTTTTTGATATTACTGACACCTATTTATTGTATTTACTGTACCTGTTTATCATAGTGTATTATGATTATCGATAGTGACCGAAGATAAAACTATTGTCATGCCGCATGAATTCATGTCACTTCACCTCTGTCGCTACCATACACACGGACTGTATAACTCAGCCTTAATGCCAAAAAAAAAGTTTGCAGCATTTAAAAAAAAAAAAAAGGAAATGTGTTCATGGTGTTACTCGCATGTTGACTGTAAATGAAGGTCTCTCCAGTTCGATTTGTTTAGACGCCGAGACATAGTTTTGGTAGAAATCGTTTTCATATTACTCTCGGCCTCAACACTTAGTAAATTCTTATGCGCACAGAATAACTTGTGAGCACACAATTTTAAAAAAATCACCCTATGGGACTTCGGAGGCTCCGTATTAAAGTGAGAATTTCACACGTACCGAAATATTAACGTATGCTATTAACGTCCCTTCTTGTAGAATTAAAACACATTAACGTCCGTTTCCAATGTTGATAAAAGTTAAATCGAATTACATACTTTAAAAGACTCGATTTCTGTTCGGTCGAGTTAAAGTCCGGGCTGTGTGCGACGATTATGTAATATCTGGTACCACTCCATGGCATGGTTGCATAACGTCCACTGTTGCCAACTCCTCAGCAAGGAATGTCGCTATTGGTTGTCCCAAAAGTCGCTAGAAGTCGCTAAATGACGCCATCGCCTAATTTGCATAATGTACATGTAATTATAATGGACGCTGCAGGAGAGAGGAATAATGTCGTGGGAGAGACAAAAGGTGGTTAAACATCCTAAATACGTTTAGAACTACAAATTAACTTTCTTCTGTCGATTCTTGTTTTTTTATATCATAATTCCAACCCTCTTCCTATATCCGGGCTTGGGACCGGCAAAAGTGACCCCAAAGAGAAATTACTTATTCTTAAAAACTGTCATACTTGGCAGAGTTTTTGGCAATAAGCCAGGGCAGGAACAGCCAGTGGTGGTTTCGCACATGCGCAATTCATTTGCAGTCTGGACGCGGAAAGGTGAACATTTCTTGCTCTGACTGCAGCTGAGCGGGGCTGCTGCGTGAGGACTGTCCACCTGTGAATGCTTTGGGACGGGAGGGGAGCCCACGGTAGCACCCGCTGCTCGGTGAGGAGAGTAAGAACAATACGTGCTTCCACGTCAGAGTCTCCAAAAGTCTCCAATAACACTAGAAAAAGTCGCTAGATTTGTCACTAGTCGCTTTTTTGAAAACGAGTCGCCAGAGAGGTCTAAAAACACGCTAAATATAGCGACAAAGTTGCTAAGTTGGCAACACTGATAACGTCATGTCCGGATTCGCTTGTGGAGATCACGTGTTTCCGTCCCTCTAGAGGACATATTCCTGGTGGAGGGCTGCAGCCAGACCCTTCTCGCTGCTGTTGTAGACTTCCTGCTCAGTGATAGAATCTGAAGGGCTAGAAGGGCGAGTATGTATGCAACGCACAACATGAACCCCTGGAGGATAATAAGTGTTTCCTTAGATAAGACTTTTTGGATTTCTGCTTGATTTCCAAATTGAGTGCACTAGTTATCACAAAATCGGCTACGCAGTGTAGCCATTTAAATAGGCATATTTCACTGTAGGAATGGTAATATTAACCGATTTGCACCGACGCACTGGTATAAAAATTCACAATGCGACTGCCCCGATTAAAAAAGTTGTCGGAAACAGAAGCTCACAGACAGAATGCAATAACGTACGGGGTTTATTGTCAGAAACAGGCAAACAGAACAGGATTCAGCAAGCAGAATCGGAGTCGTGGTCATGGTGCAGAGAAGATCAAAATAGCCAGTCCTACAAGTGACAAGCCCTTGCTATACAGTCGAGGGATAACCTGGAAGAGATCTCCTCGTCCGAAGACCCGCACCGTGTGGAGGAGATGCGAGAAAGCCTTCTGCATCTGAGGAGTGAAGTAGCAGAGACGATGATCAGGCAGGTATCCCTGGACTGTGGACTGGCTTGTTCTCTGTTAGAACTGCCTGAACCATTCCTGGCTCTGACTAAAGCTGCAGGTAAAAAGAAGTGAAAGAATCGCAGAGAAGCATTTTCCTCAGGAATCCTGTTAAAACCCCACGTGAACCCCGCTTGCTTCCCAGTGGTTAAGCATGAGGTGTATCTCACACTACTCGACCTGGCAGTGTTTGTCACACCTGGGTCGTCAGCCACCACTCCTGAGTCTGCGTCTGACCTCCCTGCTGCCGGTCCGCTCAGATCGGCACTTAAAGTCCCCGCCGCTCCATCCCTGTTGGGAACCCCGGTCTCCAGCCTCCCGACACAGAGTCTTCTGTTCCCTGACTTCCAGTGTGCTCAATCTCCTTAGCCCCAGTTCCTAAGGTTCCTGTATCTGTCCCAGTTCCTGCACGTGTCCCAGCTTCAGGTCCTGTCCTGGCTCAAGTTACCGTGTCCACTCCAGTTCCTGTCCTGGGTCCAGTTCCCATGTCTGTGCCAGTTTCTGTCCCAGCTCCAGACCCTGTGTCCTGGCTCCAGTTCTTGTCCCAACTCCAGACCCCATGGCCACCCCATTTTGGAAGATCCCGGCCAGGATC